CAAAATCTTACTGGGATTTAATTAATCTACTATATTTATTCTACAACCTTAATAATCCAAAGATTCATAAAGCTTCTTTCTGTCTCTTCCAAATCTAATTTTACGCTTCTTCCAAGGACAACACAATAGGGAGCAGAGACGTTTACATATGTAACATTGTCTCTTATGTCTTTACACTATTGTTTATTATACAGCCTTAAAATCCAAGGTATTGTATTGGAAGGACTAATAGAATTGTTATGTTTACATTGCATTTATTGTGGTATTTTCCTCTCAAAACAAGATATTCTGATATTTTCTGGTGCAAATACTCCAATACTGTAAAGTCAATGTGTTCAGAATAGAAAGTATAGTTCACATAGAAGACTAATGTTTTTTGAAGCTATCAAGGTAGCCATTAAAGGCTAAGGCATATGTCCTGCTTTCCAAGTCATCACATCAGTAAGCCATCACATGTAAGCTTTGAAATCTAATGTTATCACTTAGTAACTATATTCTTAAGCTCATTTAACTTAACTTTTGGGATGCATGAATCTAGAGGTGTGCAACTGCATTCAGTTACCTTTTTGCTTTGAGGCTTGCAAAGTCACTTAACTCTGACTGCTTCCTCAAGGAAAATGCTAAGTTAAGCAAAAACAATGCAACATCTGTTTAGAGAAAAACAGTTGTTCTCAGTATCCATTAGTACTGTTGCTTGAGGAAATTGTTTGAATGAATTATCTAAGTGCTATGGTAAAAAAGCAGAAATAACATACATTTATCCCTGCCTGGTGCTGCCAGACTAAATGAAAACCTCTATGACCACCAAACCGCATTGCCACTGCATATTTACATATAAACACTGTAATTCCCTCTGAATTTCATGCTATTCCAAGGCTGTCCTTAAATAATTGCATATTACCCAACTGAAGATTGTCTCACCTTCTAATGATTTAATATATCCAGGCAGTTCATTGACATTCTGTCAGCTTCCTGACAGTTCAGGGGATATATACATACAGTATTTTGCTTAAATCTTAACCAGTATTTAAAAGGTTTACAGTATTTAAAAGACTTACTTCTTAACTATGCCTTATTGAAGAGGTGTCATTCATTTATGCCTAGCACAGGAATACACAGAAACTGAGTAATTCAGCCTTCTCTATATTATTCACTGCTCACTGTTTTCACCTCACTAAGAAAAAAAAAAAAAAGGCAAGCAGCTATTTTTACATCTTCCTTCCTCTTTCCTCTTTTGCATTTACCAAACTTCTTCTTCCTGATTTGCTTCTCTGCTAGCTGCAATTCACTCTGCATCCTGGCTTTTCTGATTTTATCACTTCATGTTCTAAGACTAAAGTATTTCCATTTTTTCAGATTTTTTATTATTATTATTTCAGGTCTTCACATAGCTATTTTTATTGTTCCTATATTTCCCCTCTATCCTCTCTGCATTTAACATAAACAAGTGCCATCATATCAACTAAATGTATCTATAACTTACAATGGGGTAAACAAATTACAGTATCCACTGTCACCAAATTACCTTTCGTCCTTGATTTTTCAACCTGTTCCCTCCAGAATTTTGGCTTAGTAATAACTTAGGATTGTACCATTCACAGTCATTAAAATTCCCTGAAGTGAGAGGTTTTTCAGAGTAAAAACACAAAAATAAAACATGGTTCTTAGTATAAGAAATGGTACCAGTATTTCTTAAAAAGCATAGAAAGGCAATCACAGCCACAGTACTGTCAAAACAGCTTATAGAAACATCGGCATTAAACTGCCTTTTGAATTAATTCCTCAAACAAGCAACAAGCCTCTTTTAAGTGCTAACAAGTATAAAGTATTGTTATGAATGGCTTGGAAAAATAATCCTTAAATTGTCATTTAATCTTTCCAAGTGTTAGACTGAGGTACATCTTTTCTGGCCAACTGCTTCCTCCTTGCAGCACGAAGCAGTTGCACATCCAGTTTATGGGCTATTTTCTTCTCAAGGAAGTAATAAAATGGCTGGGGAAGATTTTGACCCTGTTTCTGAAAGCAAGAAAATTACCTACATTCAAACAGCCAACAGGCAGAGAATGGGGATTGCTCAACTCACCTCTTGCAGCTGGACACAGAGAAACAGAGAGGGTTTCCATTTCAAAGAGGTGTTATGAGAAGCAAGGACACTGGGCATGCTCAGCACCAGTACAAGATCTGGTGTTTAATTTCTTTTAGGATTGCGCTCCAGGATGACATTATCCACTATCAGCAAACCAACCATGTAACACTGCACAGAGTTTCTTTTTAAAATAATTTGTGTGTGCCACTACTAGGTTCTTGAGTCTAATTGAGAAGGTAAATAGCTAACAGATAGCTACAACATGTTGCCTTGATGTGTATTAAAAACCCTCTAGCCTTTCTTTACTTGGTGTTACACTCGAAAATACCTTGTACCCAAGTCTATATTTCCTCTTGTTCAGCCTACTCTCTGAGGCAGGTGTCTGGCATAGAGACATCTCTTCACACATCTGCAAACTATTTGCTGAATTAAAACCCCCATCTTTTCAAACTGAAGAGACAGAACTGTGCTTTCCCTTTTTCCCTTAGCGAACAGTATAGTATTCCCAAGTAAGTGCCATGTAAAGCTGTTATGTATCAGACTCTGTAATCACATTTCAATGTTTTACTGGTTGTAAATAACATGCACGAGTGCTCCAAGGACCAAATTGCTCTCTTGCTGCCAACATTAGTTGTTTAATGACCTGAACAGCAGAAGCTTCCAATTATTGTATTCCATTTTAAAGTGTCATTTAAAGCCACTCTTGTAATTATTATACCTGTGTTGTATATTTATGCTCTTAGCTAAAGACCTCTAGGCATATAACTTGTAAGGTCCAGGAACAGCTATTGATAATTATTTATCAATTTCACCTATGTAAAAATATAATGTTCTTTGCATGTTTGCTGCCTGCCACACAGCATCTGCTTCACCAGTAGTTCCCAAACGTGGAGAGGGGTTTGAAGTACCTTACACACGGCATGGCACAGGCTGGTTCTGCCAGACTTGCCATGACTCCAAGAGATCTAAAAAAGTGCACATCAATGACTCTTCCTAAGAAGTCTCAGCTACGAAAAAGTCAACAACTGCTCTAACACACCACTCATCAACATTAGTCCTTCTCATCTCTTAAAACTTACCTGAAACAGCCAGCATTTTGGCTTCAAGGAGAGCTGGTAGTTGAGTCTCAATATCACTCACATTCCTCCTCAAAGTACTGCAGAGTTTCTGACTCGTACAAACCTAGATTGAGGGAAACAGCCATGATATATAATTCATTCATGTAAGAGTATAAGACAATTTAAATGGGGCTTCAAATGTTCTTGGTTTACACGACATAACATCCTACAGCAAGGTGAAGAAACTTAATAAAAAGTGATGTCTTTACAGAAATACTCAACATGAATCGGAATTTCCAGGCTTTGTTCCACATTCTATTCAAGAAATAAGGAAGAGTATTGACATTAGGTACCTGCATGAGAGAGGACAGGTTTCACTACTAGATACTGAGGCTGCACATAGAAGAAAGGCCATCTTACAAATTCTGTACAATTTCAGCATTAACAGTGATGCCTGGAGTGGAGTGTTTGGAGTTTAAGATGTCATAACACAGAATGAACACCAATTTTTATACAGAATATACCATGCCACACAACTGAATAAAGCATCCATCATTAATTCCCTGCAGAGGGAATAAATAAGGCTATACCAGCTCACAATCAGAAAACACAGCTGACTGGGGTTTGGGTTTCTGACTTTTCCTCTCTTTCTTTTTGTCATCTTTTTAACTGCAAGTTTCTTCAGCAATGAATCAGGACCGGTATTAAAAACATGGAGAGAGACAGGAAAAAAAAGGAAAGGAAGTTTCACTCTTTCTGTACTTTACATGTAATTGTACATTACTACCTCGGATCTTATACAGCATACGCAATTGATACAACTCCCACATACTCAAAAGTGTTGTGAAGGAAAGCAAAATGAACAAACAGAAAAATCCTTCATGAAGCTAAGGCAAACCTCTTGTTCTGAAGGCAAACATCAAACACTTGCTTAAAATTGTAGCTGACACTTGAGAAAACATTGCATTCATTGGAACCAAGGGTAAAGCAATAGTCAAGAGAGGCACAGGCCAGTTGTGAAGAGATGAGATGTGAAATGAAATCTGCAGAGGAAAGTTTCCCTGCCCTCCTTGACCTTTTTTTTTTCCTTCTCATAAACAAGTGTATATACCATGTTTATTAACAGAAACAAAGCTATCACTTCACTTTTTAAGAGTAAAAGCTTATCTGTTTGTACAATTAAAGTATAATAATTCAGATACGACACTAACTGTAAATCCTTTTAAATGGATAATACCCTCTTGCTTTAGCTGAGAGCATCTGTTAACCATAAATGGGTCATATTTTTCTCTTGAGTCAACAGAACTATCCTCCAAGCAGTAACTCTTACTATCTAAAGACATCAGAGTCTTCCTATTAATTTTAACACACACACATCACTTCTGCATCTATTTTAATTTTTCAATTCCCAGATACTTCACTTTGTTTCAGTACCCCTTTAAGTGACTTGCCTACTAATTCAGTTAAAATGTTTTTAAAAACCCAAAACTGTCAGAGGTGAATAAACCTACCCAAAGAACCCAAAGGCCATTTTTGTCTCACATCTCCTAAATAAATCTGAAAGTTTTTAATGACTTCGTTCTAAGCAGCGCTCTCTCTTCAGGGGTACTGAATGGCTCAGTGAATTGCAGTTAGATGGGAAATCTTTCAGCTCCAGCGAAACTGCATGAATATATCCCATGCTGGTAGTAACTTAAAGTCATTATCAGTAGACAGCTGTTTGGCAATTATGCAAAATAAGCTGGGAGGTTTAATCAGTTTCTAGTGAACACTGTCCACTTGGTAAGCACTACTGTCAGAAAGAAGCTTGCCGGCACTCTTTATCAATGGACCAAATGCAGGGACCAGAGGCTGCAAGGAAGTTCCTCTAGCTCGCAGAGATGATTCTTCTGGAACATGAGATAAGTGAGCCTCTGCTTGTATCTATAACGTGTATTCTGTAGATAAATGAACAACATTAATCTTCAGAGCTATCATATGGTATTGGTTTGACAAAACTAAATGAGAGACTGGGAGAGGCAAAGTAATATAACATCCTCTAAACCAATTGCACTGTTTCTACATTACATCAGCTCTACTTTGCAAACTCCAATTCTTTTCATTTTTTCTAATTATTTTATCTTAATAACAGCTACCATCATTCATTACATTAGCCTATTCAGCCACTGAAAAAAACATTATTTCTTGGCTAACAAAGATGATGAACATTCCCAAAGCCAGCATCCTCCCTTGCTCCCAGGGAACATCCTCCCTTAGTCCCACTTCAAGTGCCTGTGCCTCCACCAAT